TTATGGAATATAACTGTTATTTACATTTTGAGAAAAAAATTGTTCAAATAAAAGTTATTTCTTATATTATTCTCTATAATTTTTATCCTATACAAAATTTTCCTAAAATGGACCGTATTCGAGATATTTGAGAAAATGTGTAAATTTCGAATTTTGAAAAAAACTCAAAAACGGATAAAGAGAAAAACACTAAATTTTAAACTTAAGCTTTATCCCGGCCTAAGATGAACTGATTAAATTTTGGGCAGAGTCGGAACATCTGGGAGGGTATTAGGGGGTAATTTTAATATTTTATGGAATATAACTGTTATTTACATTTTGAGAAAAAAATTGTTCAAATAAAAGTTATTTCTTATATTATTCTCTATAATTTTTATCCTATACAAAATTTTCCTAAAATGGACCGTATTCGAGATATTTTAGAAAATGTGTACATTTCGAATTTTGAAAAAAAACTCAAAAACGGATAAAAAGAAATACACTAAATTTAAAACTTAAGCTTGATTCCAGCCTAAGATGTACTGATTAAATTTTGGGCAGAGTCGGAACATCTGGGAGGGTACTAGGGTGTAGTTTTAATATTTTATGGAATATAACTGGTATTTACATTTTGAGAAAAAAATTGTTCAAATAAAAGTTATTTCTTATATTATTCTCTATAATTTTTATCCTATACAAAATTTTCCTAAAATGGACCGTATTCGAGATATTTGAGAAAATATGTAAATTTCGAATTTTGAAAAAACTCAAAAACGGATAAAGAGAAAAACAATAAATTTTAAACTTAAGCTTGATTCCAGCCTAAGATAAACTGATTAAATTTTCGGCAGAGTCGGAACATCTGGGAGGGTACTAGGGGGTAGTTTTAATATTTTATAGAATATAACTGGTATTTACATTTTGAGAAAAAAATTGTTCAAATAAAAGTTATTTCTTATATTATTCTCTATAATTTTTATCCTATACAAAATTTTCCTAAAATGGACCGTATTCGAGATATTTGAGAAAATATGTAAATTTCGAATTTTGAAAAAAACTCAAAAACGGATAAAGAGAAAAACACTAAATTTTAAACTTAAGCTTTATTCCGGCCTAAGATAAACTGATTAAATTTTGGGCAGAGTCGGAACATCCGGGAGGGTACTAGGGTGTAGTTTTAATATTTTATGGAATATAACTGGTATTTACATTTTGAGAAAAAAATTGTTCAAATAAAAGTTATTTCTTATATTATTCTCTATAATTTTTACCCTATACAAAATTTTCCTAAAATGGACCGTATTCGAGAAATTTTAGAAAATAAAAAAATCAAATTTATAAAAAAAAATTTCAAATAAAAGTTGTTTGTTATATTATTTTCTATAATTCTCATTATGTACAAAATTTCTGTAAAATGGACCGTATTCGAGATATTTGAGAAAATATGTAAATTTCGAATTTTGAAAAAAACTCAAAAACGGATAAAGAGAAAAACACTAAATTTTAAACTTAAGCTTGATTCCAGCCTAAGATGAACTGATTAAATTTTGGGCAGAGTCGGAACATCTGGGAGGGTACTAGGGGGTAGTTTTAATATTTTATGGAATATAACTGGTATTTACATTTTGAGAAAAAAATTGTTCAAATAAAAGTTATTTCTTATATTATTCTCTATAATTTTTACCCTATATAAAATTTTCCTAAAATGGACCGTATTCGAGATATTTGAGAAAATGTGTAAATTTCGAATTTTGAAAAAAACTCAAAAACGGATAAAGAGAAAAACACTAAATTTTAAACTTAAGCTTTATCCCGGCCTAAGATGAAACGATTAAATTTTGGGCAGAGTCGGAACATCTGGTAGGGTACTAGGGGGTAATTTTAATATTTTATGGAATGTAACTGTTATTTACATTTTTAGAAAAAAATTGTTCAAATAAAAGTTATTTCTTATATTATTCTCTATAATTTTTATCTTATACAAAATTTTCCTAAAATGGACCGTATTCGAGATATTTGAGAAAATGTGTAAGTTTCGAATTTTGAAAAAAACTCAAAAACGGATAAAGATAAAAACACTAAATTTTAAACTTAAGCTTTATTCCGGCCTAAGATGAACTGATTAAATTTTGGGCAGAGTCGGAACATCTGGGAGGGTACTAGGGGGTAGTTTTAATATTTTATAGAATATAACTGGTATTTACATTTTGAGAAAAAAATTGTTCAAATAAAAGTTATTTCTTATATTATTCTCTATAATTTTTATCCTATAAAAATTTTTCCTAAAATGGACCGTATTCGAGATATTTGAGAAAATGGGTAAATTTCGAATTTTGAAAAAAACTCAAAAACGGATAAAGAGAAAAACACTAAATTTTAAACTTAAGCTTTATTCCGGCCTAAGATGAACTGATTAAATTTTGGGCAGAGTCGGCACATCCGGGAGGGTACTAGGGGGTAGTTTTAATATTTTATGGAATATAACTGGTATTTATATTTTGAGAAAAAAATTGTTCAAATAAAAGTTATTTCTTATATTATTCTCTATAATTTTTACCCCATATAAAATTTTCCTAAAATGGTCCGTATTCGAGAAATTTTAGAAAATATAAAAAAAATCAAATTTATAAAAAAAATTTTTAAATAAAAGTTGTTTGTTATATTATTTCCTATAATTCTCATTATATACAAAATTTCTGTAAAATGGACCGTATTCGAGATAATCGCTGAACATACATAAAAATATTCCAACGAACTGAACCTCTTTTATTAAAAAATTTGTTTATTTACCTTACCTAAATAATATACCAGTATACTTACTAAAACCTGAAAATAATAAAAAAAAAAAACAAAAATTACCTAGTCATATACGACACTTTTGCTGCGGGTCCCAGCAGGGTAAAAAGTCAGGACAAGGAATGGTAAAACACTAACTATATATAAATACAAAAAGTATCAAAATGAGAATATTTATTGACGCAATGGTACGCGCACAATGACAAACTGTAGAGACTATAATTCTCACAAGTAGGTCTTATTATGAAAGTTAAAAATTTTTACTGATTTGCATTTACATTCACAATAATCGAAAAAAGAAAAGAAATAAAAATCAGCTCACAGTTGTATCATTAGAAGCAGAGCATTCCTATGCTTTTCTAACACTTAAAAAAAAGTATATGGCATTAAAACGTACATAAATAATATCTAAGCTATATTTTTTTATCTCAGACATATATTTCTATCATATAAAACACTCTGCTCTAAATTATCTACATTAAAAATAACCCTTTTTAAGAAAAACAATAGAAATTTAACAATATATCTTTCATATATCTACAAGATTCATAGTTTAGTTATTAAATATATTTTACATTATTCTAATGAGGGTGAGACCAACTGTAGGACCCTTACATTTTTTCAGTTAGTAGCAAAGGTATATATAAATATAGATATTCACAGAACTAGTCCTTGTTGAAACGAATTATATGTTATTCTAAGTATACTAATAATTAAAACCTCAGAAATATTCAAAAATTAATAATACTATGCTATTTGTAACAAAAAACCGCTTTAGAAACGAATTCTGTAGAGAACTAAATGTTAGTAACGTCAAACGGTAGACTGCACGTTGGAGAGAGCGGCGAAACAGGGGTAGTCAACTTTAAGTCCGACGGAAGACTGCACGATGACGTAAAAGCCGTTTCTCCGCCCACCGTGCAGTCTACCGTCCGACCAGATTTTACATAGTCAATTTTAGTCCGACGGAAGACTACACGATGACGTCACTGCCGTTTCTCCGCCCACCGTGCAGTCCACCGTCCGACCAGATTTTACATACCATTTAAATGGTTCAAAATTGATAGAAATAATTCAATTTCAGTCGCACAATTGATTTTTCCTTAATTATTTTTAAATTGATCGAATTTTGATTAATGTTTACGTGTTAATATGAATTTTTTTGCTTAAAATTGTGAAATTTAAGAGTTAATCTACAAAAAAAAATTAGAAACTGGTTATGGTGATAATATTAGCTGCAATAGCGATATGTTTAGAATCATAGGGATATACAGAGCGATACGGACGGAAACACCGTTAACCGACTGTAGATTATAAGACGTACGGTTGATGTTTTGTTGGTATTTTTGAAACTTTTTTATTTTAAAATCTTGTTTAGATAATTTCGAAGTGTAAACACAAGTTTTAGAATCTCATATTAATTTTCAATGAATTAACGATTCAGCCCTCCACAGAAATCATAATTTCAGTACATCCAAAAAAATAATAAACAAAATTTCATTAGGACTAGCATCTTGAATATTTCTACTCGATTGTTTGGAAATATTGAGCTTTCATGCTATACCTTAATATTATATATATACCATGATCTTAATAATCTATTAAAACACAATTTGCTATAATTCTCTTCTATAAGCTTCTTCTAAGTGAACTCAAGAGTGCTTTTTAAAAGTCGGTAGTGAACTGGCACTATTATATAAACAACTTTTTTTGTAGCTGCATAATTTGCATTATTTTCGATTTTAAGATGACAAACTCGAACATAATCTTCTTAAGACACTAATTAATACATTTGCAAAATTTTTAGAAATGCAACTTACTCGAAACTCCACCGTCATTCAAAAATACCCTTCAGCTTGTTCCTTTCATACCTCACACCACACGTCTCTTCTCTCTTGTTCTATAACTGGACGGTTACGAAAATTTTAAGGTTAACATAGAGGAAATAACAGTGTAATTAATTAAATGTATAAACTGCTCAGAAACGCATCCAAAAAATTTACAGCCACAAAAAAGAAGAGATATTCGATCAAAAGCGAATCATCCAAACCCAGTTAGATGTAGAATCATTTTTTCGCAAATAACCCAAAATATACTAGTAGAATAAATTGTTTAACATCAATATTTTCCTATAAATACCCTCATTAATTATGGAAAATTTTAAAAAAATTATTAAATCAAAAAATCTGAAAATATTACCGAAAAAGTCCTTATTAGAGAAAAAAATGAATTGGCCAAAAATATCTCCCAAAAAAGACACCAAATCGACCACGAAGGATTCAGTGAACCCTAGCACTGATAGCAAAGACAGAAAACAGCCGAAAATACTCAAAAAAGTTAGGAGAAAAATTAAAAAAAGTTTGGAGAACACCCAAGAAAGTTTGGAGAATGCCTACGAAGAAACCACACAATCGGAAAACGGAGACGCAAACGAAAATTCAGGTGAGGATACGGACGACTCACTAAATAAAAGTGTGGAGAACACAGACCACGAAGAATTCAGTGAACCCTAGCACTGATAGCAAAAACAGAAAACAGCCGAAAATACTCAAAAAAGTTAGGAGAAAAATTAAAAAAAGTTTGGAGAACACCCAAGAAAGTTTGGAGAATGCCTACGAAGAAACCACACAATCGGAAAACGGAGACGCAAACGACAATTCAGGTGAGGATACGGACGACTCACTAAATAAAAGTGTGGAGAACACAGACCACGAAGAATTCAGTGAACCCTAGCACTGATAGCAAAGACAGAAAACAGCCGAAAATACTCAAAAAAGTTAGGAGAAAAATTAAAAAAAGTTTAGAGAACACCCAAGAAAGTTTGGAGAATGCCTACGAAGAAACCACACAATCGGAAAACGGAGACGCAAACGAAAATTCAGGTGAGGATACGGACGACTCACTAAATAAAAGTGTGGAGAACACAGACCACGAAGAATACAGTGAACCCTAGCACTGATAGCAAAGAGAAAACAGCCGAAAATACTCAAAAAAGTTAGGAGAAAAATTAAAAAAAGTTTGGAGAACACCCAAGAAAGTTTGGAGAATGCCTACGAAGAAACCACACAATCGGAAAACGGAGACGCAAACGAAAATTCAGGTGAGGATACGGACGACTCACTAAATAAAAGTGTGGAGAACACAGACCACGAAGAATACAGTGAACCCTAGCACTGATAGCAAAGAGAAAACAGCCGAAAATACTCAAAAAAGTTAGGAGAAAAATTAAAAAAAGTTTGGAGAACACCCAAGAAAGTTTGGAGAATGCCTACGAAGAAACCACACAATCGGAAAACGGAGACGCAAACGAAAATTCAGGTGAGGATACGGACAACTCACTAAATAAAAGTGTGGAGAACACAGACCACGAAGAATTCAGTGAACCCTAGCACTGATAGCAAAGACAGAAAACAGCCGAAAATACTCAAAAAAGTTGGGAGAAAAATTAAAAAAAGTTTGGAGAACACCCAAGAAAGTTTGGAGAATGCCTACGGAGAAACCACACAATCGGAAAACGGAGACGAAAATTCAGGTGAGGATACGGACGACTCACTAAATAAAAGTGTGGAGAACACAGACCACGAAGAATTCAGTGAACCCTAGCACTGATAGCAAAGACACAAAACATCCGTGAGCCGAAAATACTTAAAAAAGTAAGGAGAAAAATAAAAAAAGAAAGTCAATATTTTCCTATAAATTATGGAAAATTAAAAAAAAATTATTAAATCAAAAAATCTGAAAATATTACCGAAAAAGTCCTAATTAGAGAAAAAAAATGAATTTCAATATATTTTTTATGAAAAATGATTTATCCAAAATGTTTCCCCCCAAAAAACTATTTGTCTGAAACTTTCTCTTATAAAAAACATATTTTCGGCGGTATTTAACTATAACACTTTAATTTAAACACCCGGTATATATACACTAAACACCGTCTAGACGTAAAATTTGGTCGAACGGTGGACTGCACGGTGAAGGGAGCAGCGAAACATGGGTTGTTAATTTTAGTCCGACGGAAGACTGCACGTTGACGTCACTGCCGTTTCTCCGCCCACCGTGCAGTCCACCGTCCGACCAGATTTCACGACCCAATTAGATCAGTTGCAAAGTTACTGGTGGTTTAAAATTGATAGAAATATTAAATTTTGAGTCATGCGCTTGATTTTTATTAATTACTTATCAATTTTATTAAATTTCTTGACATATAGATCGAATTTTGATCAATATTTACGTGTTAAAATGAATTTTTTTATTTAAAATTGTGAAATCTCTACAAAAAGAATTAAAATTGGCTATATTATTAGCTGCAATAGACATATGTTTAGATTATTTAATTAGGAGTTCCTACTAGTATATTTTACTTAGAATTTTTGATTAAAAAGAAAACGTCACGTCTTCCCTAAACTTAGTTCAACTTTTTGTTTATTTTCCTAGATAAAAAATATACTCAACAGAAAAAAATGTTGCCAAAGTAGAAGAGGTGAAACAACAAAAACAGCAGAAGCATCCAAACCGTTGTAAATACTTTGAAGTCGACTAAATTTTTATTTAGTTGTTTCTCCTAGTAACATTTTTCAAAATGGCGTTTTACTGTCCACTTTGTGCATTGAAATGTCAAAAGAAGATTACGTTTCGTTACAAATAAAAATCTACAGTAATTAATGTTAATTACATCGCATTAGGCCATATTAATTACTGTAAAGAAGGTATGCGAAAAATTTGAATGTTTCTGTTCTATTTTTTTTTAAAAAAACCGTTAAAATTCTTATTATAAGGCTTCAGATGAAAAAGAAATCATAAAAATAAATTGTTACATCGAAAAGTATAGAAACTTTGCTGAAATGTAGATGAATCAATAAAATAAATCTAAATATGGCACGATTCTTTTGTTTTGAAATTTTTTTAAGTAAATAAGATTTCTGCAAAAAAGACAGCTCATTTTGCGATTCCTCTTCGATTTAAAGGTTTATATTTGATACTGATCAGTTTTATTTGGATAAATCCAAATTATGCAGCCCCATTCTTAAGTGTTACAATACAATCTTTCTCCAAGACACAACAATTGTGCTGCAGCACATACATAGTTACTGTGGTTAACAATAGGTGCACGGAAACGTTTTTGAAAATCATTTACATCGATAGATCCATTGTCGCAATGTCTTGTCGTTCGCGGTACGCGCGGTACACAATAAAAACTAATTTTTTAAATAATAGAAAAGTCAGAAATAACTTCCGTTATTAATTTTATGTATACATTCTTTTAAGTATGCGAGTCCAGGAAAAAGTTTTTGAATTTATAAGAATAATTTATTGAATTTATTTTTAGCTTCATTACATCCCCCCCGTACATTTTTTAAAAGTCTTCAAGAGTGGCTTAGGAATAAAATTGAAGAAATAATATTGTGTGGGTACTATATGGGACCAAAAGTCGAACGTTTTGGTATCAAAATTTTCTTCCCCCCCTCCACTTTTTTTGAAAACAAGAGTAACCTAAAAATTAATTTTAGATAAATTCCTTTTGGTAGAGCGTTTGGGACCAAAATCTAAGAGTGTTGAGAGGCTTCATTACATCCCCCCCCATTTTTTTAAAAATCTTTTAAGAGTAAACTTGATATTTTTGAATGTAATAAAATTCGCAGTTTATAGGATATTGAATTCTGAAAATTATAAAGTATATTAGGTTGCCCCCCGCCTCTCAAAAATTGGAAAATTTTCTTAATAAAAATTTTGAAAAATATATTTTATTTTCCCCCCTTAAAAAATTATAAAAATAAAATATAGTTAATAAAGGTAAGTTATAGAACTTTTGATCCCACCAGGTTTTATCCCCCCTCTTGTCCCCTTTTTTTTTAAATTAATTTGTGGGAATTTTGAAAAAAAAAAAATGGAATGTTAAGTGAATTATTTAAGAAAAAAGGTCATATAGTCATTTTTCCTATAACCTTTCTAAATTAGAGAAAATTGGGAATTTTATATAAAAATTGGAAATATTTAAAATGATTAATTTTATTTAAAAAAAATTATTTTTGCAAAAAATAACTTTTAGGGATTCAATAGGGATCTTTTAAAATTCTTAGCTTTATAATTTTTAACAATCTTGTAGAGGTTGTATTTCCCTATGAAAAAACACTGAAGAGTACCAAGTGTTAGTGAATTGAATACTAATAAAATGTGAAAAACCAAACAGCGACTACCCCTAAAATCTGGTCGGACGGTGGACTACACGGTGGAGAGAACAGCAAAACAAAGGGTTGTAAAATTTAGTCGGACGGAAGACTGCACGATGACGTCACTGCCGTTTCTCCGCCCACCGTGCAGTCTACCGTCCGACCAGATCTTACATCCCATTTAGATAATTTGCAAAGTTACTGATGGTTCAAAATTGATAGAAATAATACATTTATTAGAAAAAGAAATAAATTAGCATGAAGAAGGTGAAATATTAATCAGCTTACCCAGAAGAATTAAAAATGAGAATCGAGAACGATAATTAAAGAGGCAATCATTGGTTTAACCACTCCCTTTCGATGACAATTATATAGACCATCGGATAATCACAGATTTAAGTGAAAAATACATCGATATCGAGTAAAATCAAAGGAAACCTACGAGTGTATCTTGGGGGTAACACGATTTTCAATAACAGAAATATTTTCCGACTCCCAAACTGAATCATTTATACCAATATTGAAAAAAAAAATAATAAGAAGTCTCTTATAAATCCAAACGACTTTTTTCTGGAAATCATACGAAATTTATCACAAATTACAATTTTTCAAGTTATTTAAAGAAGATCAAATAATTGCGTGTCACTACTTGTGCTCAAAAAATTCATTACTGGTAAAATTTTTTTGCACCACAATTAATAATAATAATTATTCACCTATTTGACATCTTTTACTTTTTTTGGTACTATTTACATCATGTTCAGTCTATGTTAAAGTAAATTTCTTTTTCTTAAATATACAAAAAAAAATTCAATTCATGCATTTTTTTTTTTAAACTAGAAGAATCATTTACAACTTTTTATTGTTAACGTTTATTTACTTTGCTGATTGGGGAATAGAAAAGTAAATATTATCGTTTTAATTTTTTTGGCATTAAATAAATTTTTATCTTAAATCGATGGAATTAAGTCTTTTTTTTTTTAGGAAAAGTGATTCAGCAACATGGCAGGTATTTAGTTCAAATTTAAAGAAATTAATATTTTTTCAATTAACTTAAAAAATATATATAATAAAAAAATCTAAATCCGGGTCTGCACTGTTGCATGAAAAATTATCTGAATAAAAAAAAACCTAAATGCGTGTTACAAAAATCGAATTTCACTACTACGGATTATGTCGGAAAATTTTAAATTTTCCTCCGGGATGTTCGTTTTTCACCAATTTTCCGAAAAGACCTTTTTTTTAATAACGGATTTATCAATTTCATATTTTTTTTTTAATTCTAGAAAATCGAAAAAAAAAAATTTGTTTACCGAATTTTCCGACTTTCCCGAAATAACTAAAAATTCCTTTATGCCACTAGACGTTTCTCACGATTTGACATCAAAATTTTCCTCATTTCATGTGGAAAATTTTGAGAAAAAAATTAATAAATTAAAAAAATATTAATGCTCTATTTGACACAGGTAGTCGATCTGAAAATATTGATGAAAATATTGCCGAAAATTTCTTTATTAAAGAAAAAAAATATGAATTAGCGAGATATTTTAATAGATTTTCCGCGGAAAGTATTAAAAATATTATTTCTGGTATAGATGTTGAGTTTCCACGAATTTAAAATATTAAATCTTCAAGAATTAAAAGTAAATGTAATTAATTTAGTAACCAAAGGGCTGGAAGTTGATGCACTCACTATCTAGTAAAATTATAACGAAAAGTCATAGAATTTCACTATTACAAAAATATTTAACATTTTCTGTCGAATCATTTCAGGAATATGATTTTCCACCAATTTTTCTACAAGACTAACTTTTTTTTCGGTAATTAATTGTTTCGTTTCAGAATATTTGATTTCATTTAGTTTTAATTGATTTTAATTGGTTTAAATTGATTTGAATTAATTTTAATTAATTTTAATTGATTTTAATTAATTTTAATTAATTTTAATTAATTTTAATTAATTTTAATTAATTTGAATTAATTTGAATTAATTTTAAATAATTTTAATTAATTTTAAATAATTTTAAATAATTTTAATTAATTTTAATTAATTTTAATTAATTTTAATTAATTTTAATTAATTTTAATTAATTTTAATTAATTTTAATTAATTATAATTAATTTTAATTAATTTTAATTGATTTAAATTAATTTTAATTTGTTTTTACTTGATTTTATTTAATTTTAATTGACTTTAATTAATTTTATATGATTATAATTAATTTTATATTATTTTAATTAATTTTAAATGATTTTTTATGTATTTTAATTCATTTTATAGGATTTTAATTAATTTTATATTATTTTAATTGATTTTATTCGATTTTAATTGATTTTACTTGATTTGAAATGACTTTAATTGATTTTAATTAATTTTAATCGACTATAATTGATTTTATATGATTATAATTAATTTTATATTATTTTAAAATGATTTTTATATATTTTAATTCATTTTATAGGATTTAAATCAATTTTATATTATTTTAATTGATTTTTTTCGATTTTACTTGATTTGAATTGATTTTAGTTGGTTTTAATTAATTTTAATCTCCGCCCACCGTGCAGTCTACCGTCCGACCAGATTTAACATAGTTAGTTTTAGTCCGACGGAAGACTGCACGATGACGTCACTGCCGTTTCTCCGCCCACCGTGCAGTCCACCGTCCGACCAGATTTTAAATCCGATTTAGATCAGTTGCAAAGTTACTGGTGGTTCAAAGAAATAATACATTTTCAGTCGCGCGCTTAATTTTATTAGAAAAAAATAATAAATTAACATATTATTTTAATAGAATTTTCGCAAAACGGGTTAAAGATATTTCTGGCATAGATGATGAGTTTTAGAGAATTTAAAACATAAATATCTCTCTCAAATATTTCGGAAACCGAATGTAACAAACTTAACCTCAAAAAAAAATCAGTTGAACATTTTTTTTAAATTTTTAACAATTTAAATAGTGGATAATAATTAAAATGGAAAGTATTTTAAATATAGACTGAAAAAAATAATTAATTTGTTCACTATTTACTTGCCATGCAGTTGTTGATCACTTTTATAACTTTCAGCTAAGTAAAATAAACAAAAAATTACGCATAAAAATAAATAACCTTTTCAAAACTTAATAATTTTGTACCACAAAAAAAATTATAATATAACCAACCACTATGTTAACACAATCTGTAACCACGGTATGCATCTTGGCTATGTACAAATATTTCTTTAAATGTATTACTTTTTAGCATATTAAGATAGTCCCGAAACATCCTGTAGTACAATTCACTGTACTATTTTTTTTTATCCATTGCTTCGTACAGTTAAAAATCTTCTTTCCTCCGACACGACGCACAACGAAATATGTCACCACACCAAAAATGTTTCAATTTTAAAAGCCGTTTGCATATCAGAATGTACGATTTTATCAAAAAAACAATTTCCTTGAAAAACCGGACAATTTTAATAAACCGGACAATTTTTTTAAAAGTCCGGACAATTTTTTTAAAAGTCCGGACAATTTTTTAAAAAAACCGGACAATTTTAATTTCTTTAAAAATCGTTCATTCTGAAATAAAAATTAACAAATATGCGATAACTGCAATTGAAAAGCTTCGCACTGAATCTATTATTTTTAATGTGATAAAATTTTACAAAAAAAAAAACTTATAAAATAATTCAAATATACATTTCACGAAATAATAGACTAGTTGTTTTAGTTACATAAAATATTCAACATGAAACTGTTCGGTACAACACGGTCGGGTGCGCTAGCGACGGTGTTAAATATTTAAAAGACATACATGAAATATATTTACGTTTTCTCTGGTGTTGTGAAGCATGACTCCGATGGAGAGATGGTGTGATGGAGGATGTGTGCCGCCGGCACGGTGTGTGTATGTGTCTTACTTACCAGCAAACAATTAACAAAGGGCAGGGGGTAGTAATTAGGCTGTTATTTTAATATTATCACTTTTTGCTGGATGGGCTATTATTATGTTGTGCAGATGTACTCTTGTTATGGGATATCTCGAGTTCGGCTAGTTTCTTCCACAATTCGTCTCGCTCCTTTTCCCGTTTCTTTTCCCTACAAAAAATTAATAAATAAATAACAATTCCCCGACTAGTCAATGATGAAATTTGTTGCGAAGCCAAAACCTAAATCATCCATTTCTAAAAAGGAATGAAAGGAAAGATTTAATATTAATTTTTAAAACTTTGTGAAAAGATATTTTAATTTTAATTGATTTAAATTTATTTTGTTTTTAATTTATTTTGATGTATGTTAATTCAACTTATATTTTAATTGCTTTTAATCGATTTTAATTGATTTTACTTGATTTAAATTGATTTTAGGTGATTTTAAATGATTATAATTGACTTTAATTCATTTTATGATTTTAATTTTAATTGACTATTGATTTTGATGTATTTTAATCGATTTTATATGATTTATAATTAATTTTATATTATTTCAATTAATTTTAAATGATTTATATGTATTTTAATCCATTTTGTAGGGTTTTAATTAATTTTAGATTATTTTAATTGATTATAATTGATTATAATTGATTATAATTGATTATAATTGATTATAATTGATTATAATTGATTTTAATTGATTATAATTGATTTTAATTGATTTTAATTGATTTTAATTGATTTTAATTGATTTTAATTTATTTTAATTTATTTTAATTTATTTTAATTTATTTATTTTAATTTATTTTAATTTATTTTAATTTATTTTAATTTATTTTAATTTATTTTAATTTATTTTAATTTATTTTAATTTATTTTAATTTATTTTAATTTAATTGATTTTGATGTATTTTAATTAATTTTATATGATTTATAATTAATTTTATTATATTTCAATTAATTTTAAATGATTTTTATGTATTTTAATTCATTTTATAGGATTGTATATGATTTATAATAAATTTTATATTATTTTAATTGATTTTATTCGATTTTAAATGATTATAATTGACTCTAATTCATTTTATGAATTTAATTTTAATTGACTATTGATTTTGATGTATTTTAATTGATTTTATATGATTTATAAATTATTTTATACTATTTCAATTAATTTTAAATGATTTTTATGTATTCTAATTCATTTTATAGGATTTTATATGATTTATAATTAATTTTATATTATTTCAATTAATTTTAAATGATTTTTAAGTATTTTTATTCATTTTATAGGATTTTAATTAATTTTATAGGATTTTAATTCATTTTATTCGATTTTAATTGCTTTTAATTGATTTTGATGTATTTTAATTGATTTTATATGATTATAATTAATTTTATATTATTTCAATTAATTTTAAATGATTTTTATGTATTTTATATTATTTTAAATGATTTTAATTGATTTAAATTAATTTTGTATGATTATAATTAATTTTATATTATTTTTGTTTTAATTAATTTTAACTGAATTTAATTGGTTTTAATTAAGTTTAATATATGTTCGTATTGAATCACACATAATTTATATCTCGAAAAATACGGACCATTCTAGAAATATGAATTATTAAATATAATACAAGTAAAGATCCAAAATTTCATATAAGTGAAATATTTGCAGACGTTTATTTGAATTTAATTTATTAAAATTTATTTTGATTTATTTATTTTAATTTTTTTTATTTTTATATTACTTATATTTGTATATTTTTATTTATTTTGATATATTTTTTTTATTTTTATATTACTTATATTTGTATATTTTTATTTATTTTGATTTATTTTAATTTATTTTAATTTATTTTAATTTATTTTAATTTATTTTAATTTATTTTAATTTATTTTAATTTATTTTAATTTATTTTAATTTATTTTAATTTATTTTAATTTATTTTAATTTATTTTAATTTATTTTAATTTATTTTAATTTATTTTGATTTATTTTGATTTCTTTGATATATTTTGATATTTTGATTTATTTTGATTTATTTTAATATATTTTGATTTATTTTGATATATTTTTATATATTTTGATTTATTTTGATATATTTTATTTATTTTGATATATTTTGATTCATTTTAATATATTTTGATATATTTTAATATATTTTGATTCGTTTTGATTCATTTTGATTTATTTTGATTTATTTTAACTTATTTTGATTTATTTTAATTTATTTTTATATATTTTGATATATTTTAATATATTTTCATTTATTTAGATACAATTGAATATATTTTGATTACCTTTGATTAATTTTGATTAATATTGATTAACTTTGATTAATTTTGATTAACTTTAATTAATTTAACTAATTTTAATATATTTTGATATATTTTGATATATTTTGATATATTTTGATATATTTTGATATATTTTGATATATTTTGATATATTTTGATATATTTTAATATATTTTGATTTATTTTGATATTTTAATATACTTTGATTTATTTTTGTTATTTTGATTTATTTTAAACGACAAACGACGATGCACGAACGATACCGACATACATCGTTTTTATCCTTACATATTTCATGCCTGTAAGATGTTTCATTTCAAAAACTTCAAAATTTAAACAAATGTGGGAAGAAAAAAAGAAAAAATAAAAAATAAAACAAAGAATAAAAGAAAAAAATATAAAAATAATAAAAAAAAAAAGAAAAAAAGTGCAATTTTTTTTATTATTATTAATATAATTAAGTACACTTACTTTTGTCTTTCAGCTTTGTAACTGACTGTAAGTTCATCAAACAGCTTGGAATTCATTTCCATGAACGTTTTGAGGACATTGTATACAAGGGCCACTATAGTCTGATTCCAGTGCTCTTTGGAGATGCGGTACAATGCCGGGAACATAATTGGCATGATAACGTGATTGTTTTCTTCCATCAGCGACATAATATACTCGTTGTTCCAGAAGTACAAAGCCCGCTCTGCCACCTAAAATACAATCATCATTTAGACATTTATTTAATTAATTTTTAAATATTTAAATTTTTAAATTATTAAATTAAATTATTAAATTAAATTATTAAATTAAATTATTAAATTAAATTATTAAATTAAATTATTAAATTAAATTATTAAATTTTTAAACTTTTAAATTTTTAAATTTTTAAATTTTTAAATTTTTAAATTTTTAAATTTTTAAATTTTTAAATTTTTAAATTTTTAAATTTTTAAATTTTTAAATTTTTAAATTTTTAAATTTTTAAATTTTTAAATTTTTAAATTTTTAAATTTTTAAATTTTTAAATTTTTAAATTTTTAAATTTTTTATTTTTTAATTTTTGTATTTATTTTCATTTATTTTTAATTATTTTAATTTAAATTTATTTTATTTTAATTTATTTTTATTTGTTTTTTATTTTTATTTTTTGTATTTATTTTAATTTATTTTTAGTTATTTTTATTAATTTGTATTCTTTTTTTTATTTTACCATAAAATATAAAAATCCAAAACCCTGAAATTTTTATTTATTTATTTTTTTGTATTTATTTTCATTTATTTTTATTTAATTTCAATTTTTATTTTTACTGAATTAATTTTTATTTAATTTATTTTCATTTATTTTTATTTATTTTTATTTATTTTTATTTATTTTTATTTATTTTTATTTATTTTTATTTATTTTTATTTATTATTATTTATTTTTATTTATTTTTATTTATTTTTATTTATTTTTATTTATTTTTATTTATTTTTATTTATTTTTATTTATTTTTATTTATTTTTATTTATTTTTATTTAATTTATTTTTATTTAAAATATGAAAATCTAAAATCCTGAAATACTTTTTATTTATTTATTTTTAATTACTTTTTTTAATTTATTTTCAATTATTTTTTTTGTATTTATTTTTATTTAACCTCTCCTAAAAACGTAAAAATCCAAAATCCTGAAACAAATAATTATGTATTTATGCTTCAATTTCAATTTCCTACCTAACAAACTTTCACCCCTTCCCATTTCCCTCCTCCCCTTACAATGTTAAAATTCAAAAAACCCTGAAATACTTACACATTATTTGTGTTCATTCAAATTTTCAACTTCCTACCTTTAAAAAATTCTATACTGCATTTCTGACACCAAATAACAAATAAAAAATCAATAAATAAAAGGCATTTTTACCTGGAAGTGTGGACTGGAAACACACTTGGAAATTTGCCTAAATAACGGTTCTTGGATGCGCAAAAACTGCGACGGCTCAATAACATCCAGAACCTCTTCGATCTCGCCCAAAAACATCACCTCCTTCTGACTGCACGTCTTGGGCCAATATTTGAGAAGACCTCTCACTACCGGTTCCGTCAAAGTCGGATCCTTCTCTAAGAACTGTACTACACAGTAAGCGAGCTGCGCGTGATACAGAGACAAGCACTTAACCTTATGCAAAGGTATCAGCACCTTCACCAGGAACTGCTTATGTTCAGCCTTAAGTGGTAACGCGAACCCATTGATTATGGAACCTAAGATTTCTAAAAGCTCACCGACGCCGTTGAAGTGTTCAGTCTCATACACAAACCTAAAAAATTGATGAAATATTATCCGGTGTTTGTCAAGAATCCCTTTAGACTCACCTCAAAAATATATTATTAATTTGTTTTCGAATGAAGGCCCGGAGACCGAGAAATTTTCCATAGATACGATGCAATACTGTCTTCAAGAAATCGCGCTCCCTAGGATCCTCGGAATCGAACAATTCTAACAGTTGCAATACGAATTTCTGATCGATAACGCGTTTCCCTATTGTCGGTTGAAAGTCCGAGCTTTCCAAAAATCTCAGGAAAAATTCGTAAACCAGTTGGAGGTGAGGCCAGCTCGCCTCCAAAGTGGGATCGTCCTCTTCCGGATCGAAATCCGGATTTTCGCTCGGCGGCAAAGTTCTAAATAAGTTTGCGGATATCTAAGGAAAAGTATTATTTGCAAAAAAGATAACAGGAGAAATCCCAATTACAGAACAATTTAAATACAACCCACAACCCTTATAGAAATTTGGTCGGACGGTAGACTGCATGGTGGAGGAGTTGTTAATTTTAGTCCGACGGAAGACTGCACGATGACGTCACTGCCGTTTCTCCGCCCACCGTGCAGTCCACCGTCCGACCAGATTTACTTATAAAATCTTTATTTACATTTTTAAAATCTTGTCTTGAAATAATTTAGATTTAGATCGGTTGCAAAGTTACTGGTGGTCCAAATTGATAAAAATAATACATTTTTAGTCGCGCGCTTGATTTTATTAGAAAAAATAAATAAATTAACACATAAATACCTGTAGATTAAACATAAATTATAGTTATCTCGAATATTTCTGCTTCAAAATCAATAATATCCCATAAAAATATATCAATAATATCTTAAAATAAATAAGATAAAAAGCCAAACTCAATCTGTGTTTGATATCATTTTTTTATCATCTATACTTACATATAAAAACTTTATAATAGATAATTAATTTTAGGAACTATTCAATGGTTTAAGCAAAACATATAGGTAAGGGAATCATTATATTGGTGACCAACTGAATAAATAATGCTATGATAATTATTAAAGCAAAGTGAGAACTATGTCTACATAATTTCCAACAAATTTAGCGACCTTTTCTATTGATTTAACTAAGTAAATAATAAGAAAGTTATTAAATGAGTATATAACAAAAGATTGCATAAACATTTTTAACTTACCATTTTAATAATCTCTGGATAAACGGGTTCAGTAAGGACGCCTCTCCCTCCAGTTATGTAATCCACGAGTTCGTTTAGAGTGCATCTTTTGACTTCTTTTCCTTTCAAATCGGCAACGGGATCCATGAAATCAAATGCAACACAGCATTGTCTAAGTTTCCGAATGAATAGTTCTTCTTGTTCTGATGCTGGTACATCTAAAATTAAAATGGTTTATTCAGAATATCAGAAAAATATTTAGATGGAACAAAAAATAATATAAATAAATTTTGGAGGAATATATTATTATATTAATTATATTATTTACTATTACAGAAGCAAAAAACGATATCATCAAATTGAAAGCTCTATAAAAGGATCAAGGCTATAAATTTTGAAAAAAATTTGAGGGATTAAATAGGTATTCTTTATAGATACAAAATGGAAGTAAACACTATAGGTACTTTGTAAACATTGCATAATAGCTTTAAAAACAAACAGTTTCCCAGATGAATGGAAATTTTTTTATACAGTGTGTCTGAAAAAGTTGGCAACAAATGGGAAACTTTTTTATTATTAAGTTTAGGAAAAAACGTCATTCTTCATAAAAAGTTCTGTAAGGCCTAAAACCTAATATACGATAATCAGATATCAAAATTTTCCAATCGTATACGAGGTTTGTCAAAAAGTATGAATTTTGCTCAAGAGTAAAGTACCTTTATTTTCGACAATATCTAAAAAAATGAATGTAATATTCAATTCTAATCAACTTTTCTTAATGAAAATTTTCGATTTTGTCAAAAATAAACGTACTTTACTCTTGAGCAAAATTCATACTTTTTGACAAACCTCGTATACGATTGGAAAATTTCGATATCTGATTATCGTATATTGGGTTTTAGGCCTTGCAGAACTTTTTATGAAGAATGACGTTTTTTTCTAAACTTAATAATAAATAAGTTTCCCATTTGTTGCCAACTTTTTCAGACACACTGTATATAGTTACAGATTTATGGTGCTTTTTAAATGTTAGTCCTTTCTCAAGAAGTTGGGCACAAATTTTTTGGTTAAAATTGGTGTAATTTTATTTCTAATTCATTTAAATATTGCTTTGTAGAATCTTTAACAATACCCATATAACATGTGAGCAAATTAATATTTCCAACTGGAAAAATTACTACAAAAACCCCAAAACAATGTCACTGATGTATTTGACAAAATTAACAATTAAGCAAGTCATAATGTGAAGTTGAAGTTAGTCTCTAATATTGCATACTTTTGATCAATAGTTCTGTTGAATTTAGTAACTTAAAAACTGCAATTTAAAAAATGAGATGCTGGAAACAGGAATTTACAAAAAATGCTTGTTCCACAGAACTACAGAAGAGAGAACAATACAGTAAAGAAACATAGAGCTAGTTCCACTACAGAGATACACTGAAAAAACGAAACTATTCACAGTACCCCTAGCTCTGTGATGTATTGTGAATAGTTACATTTTCTCAGTGTATTTCTGTAGTGGAACTAGCTCTATGTTTCTTCTCAAGTAAGATGCTGTCATATTATAAGAAGTTCTTGAATATATAATGCAGTTAAGACTTTAGTTTAAATGTGCCATTCCTTTTAAAAAAGATTGATCTGTTTTTAACTTAACTGGAAGAAAATTATATAATTTAATGCAAATATAAAATGATTAATGGTACAATAATTAGGTAGATAGATTTATTATACTCTTCAAACTGGAAAAACAAAGCTTTTATAGGGGGGATTCTGGAAAAAAATCAGATCAAAAATTTGATGGGGTTAAGTTAGGGGGTTTGTTTAACTGTGAAAAGTACCATACAGAATGCCAAGCATTATATAATTACATAATCATTTCAAAATAAATCTTATTTATTTCTTTGGCTATAAGATCTGGATCTGTTTATAAATGTTTTTGAAATAATGAATAGTTTTTCAATATGAGCAGCTCATTTGTATATTACTTAACAAATGAGGAATAAGCAGAGAGCAGAAAAACACAAAATTTTAAACTTAAGCTTTATGTAGTTATATTTTATGTAATATATCTGTTATTTACATTGTGAGAAGAAAATTGTTCAAATAAAAGTTACTTCTTATATTATTCTCTATAATTTTTATCCTATACAAAATTTTCCTAAAATGGACCGTATTCGAGATATTTGAAAAAATGTAAATTTCGAATTTTGAAAAAAACTCAAAAACGGATAAAGAGAAAAACACTAAAATTTAAACTTTAGCTTTATTCCGGCCTAAGATGAACTGATTAGATTTTGAGCAGAGTAGGAACATCTGGGAGGGTACTTAATAGGGGGTTGTTTCTATATTTTATGGAAAATAATTGTTATTTACATTGTGAGAAGAAAATTGTTCAAATAAAAGTTACTTCTTATATTATTCTCTATAATTTTTGTCCTATACGAAATTTTCCTAAAATGGACCGTATTCGAGATATTTGAAAAAATGTAAATTTCGAATTTTGAAAAAAACTCAAAAACGGATAAAGAGAAAAACACTAAATTTTAAACTTAAGCTTTATTCCGGCCTAAGACGAACTGATTAGATTTTGGGCAGAGTCGGAACATCTGGGAGGGTACTTAATAGGGGGTTGTTTCTATATTTTATGAAAAATAATTGTTATTTACATTGTGAGAAGAAAATTGTTCAAATAAAAGTTACTTCTTATATTATTCTCTATAATTTTTGTCCTATATAAATTTTTTCTAAAATGGACCGTATTCGAGATATTTAAGAAAATGTGTAAATTTCGAATTTTGAAAAAAACTCAAAAACCGATAAAGAGAAAAACACTAAATTTTAAACTTAAGCTTTATTCCGGCCTAAGACGAACTGATTAGATTTTGGGCACAGTCGGAACATCTGGGAGGGTACTTAATAGGGGGTTGTTTCTATATTTTATGGAAAATAATTGTTATTTACATTGTGAGAAGAAAATTGTTCAAATAAAAGTTACTTCTTATATTATTCTCTATAATTTTTGTCCTATATAAATTTTTTCTAAAATGGACCGTATTCGAGATATTTAAGAAAATGTATAAATTTCGAATTTTGAAAAAAACTCAAAAACCGATAAAGAGAAAAACACTAAAATTTAAACTTTAGCTTTATTCCGGCCTAAGATGAACTGATTAGATTTTGAGCAGAGTAGGAACATCTGGGAGGGTACTTAATAGGGGGTTGTTTCTATATTTTATGGAAAATAATTGTTATTTACATTGTAAGAAGAAAATTGTTCAAATAAAAGTTACTTCTTATATTATTCTCTATAATTTTTATCCTATACAAAATTTTCCTAAAATGGACCGTATTCGAGATATTTGAAAAAATGTAAATTTCGAATTTTGAAAAAAACTCAAAAACGGATAAAGAGAAAAACACTAAATTTTAAACTTAAGCTTTATTCCGGCCTAAGACGAACTGATTAGATTTTGGGCACAGTCGGAACATCTGGGAGGGTACTTAATAGGGGGTTGTTTCTATATTTTATGGAAAATAATTGTTATTTACATTGTGAGAAGAAAATTGTTTAAATAAAAGTTATTTCTTATATTATTCTCTATAATTTTTGTTCTATACAAAATTTTTCTAAAATGGACCGTATTCGAGATATTTGAAAAAAGTGTAAATTTCGAATTTTGAAAAAAACTCAAAAACGGATAAAGAGAAAAACACTAAATTTTAAACTTAAGCTTTATTCCGGCCTAAGACGAACTGATTAGATTTTGGGCAGAGTCGGAACATCTGGGAGGGTACTTAATAGGGGGTTGTTTCTATATTTTATGAAAAATAATTGTTATTTACATTGTGAGAAGAAAATTGTTCAAATAAAAGTTATTTCTTATATTATTCTCTATAATTTTTGTTCTATACAAAATTTTTCTAAAATGGACCGTATTCGAGATATTTGAAAAAAGTGTAAATTTCGAATTTTGAAAAAAACTCAAAAACGGATAAAGAGAAAAACACTAAATTTTAAACTTAAGCTTTATTCCGGCCTAAGACGAACTGATTAGATTTTGGGCAGAGTCGGAACATCTGGGAGGGTACTTAATAGGGGGTTGTTTCTATATTTTATGAAAAATAATTGTTATTTACATTGTGAGAAGAAAATTGTTCAAATAAAAGTTATTTCTTATATTATTCTCTATAATTTTTGTTCTATACAAAATTTTTCTAAAATGGACCGTATTCGAGATATTTGAAAAAAAGTGTAAATTTCGAATTTTGCAAAAAAACTCAAAAACGGATAAAGAGAGAAACACTAAAATTTAAACTTTAGCTTTATTCGGGCCTAAGATGAACTGATTAGATTTTGAGCAGAATAGGAACATCTGGGAGGGTACTTAATGGGGGGTAGTTTTAATATTTTATGGAATAGAACTGTTATTTACATTTTGAGAAAAAAATTGTTCAAATAAAAGTTATTTCTTATATTATTATCTATAATTTTTACCCTATACAAAATTTTCCTAAAATGGACCGTATTCGAGAAATTTAACAAAATGTAAAAAAATTAAAATTTTTGATAAAATTATTCAAATAAAAATTGCCCCCATTCAAAAAATCTACCGCTTTTAAGCACTTTTGAATGAACAGGAAGAAATAAATAGTGCATTCTCCAATTTAGACAGTTTAAATCATAAAAACTATACTGATAAAACAAAACAATAATACCTCATACCTAAAACAAAGCTTAAATAATAAAACAGAAATGACAGTTCACAAAATCTACCTTATATTGGTTGTATGCCAAAAAATCATGAGAAATTAAAATATTATTCATTAGTTTTGAGTTTTTCAAACAAATTATCGATATTAAGTGTGCATAAAAGGTAATAACAAGTCCATAGGTTCAACCAAAACTATAGATTCAAAGCTTTAAGAAAAAGAGAACATTCTTCTTCTTCTTTTCTTTTTTTGGGCTATGTTACTGCGATCAATTTACCCAGATATAGTTGATTTGCTTCTATCATCCAAATAAGACAAGATGTATCAAATATCAAATGGGGCTGATACACCAGCCTTTGTTAGTTCCAAATACACATCAAAAAGGGGAGATTTATTAAAATGATGATATGATTTAATGATCCAAAAAAAGAGAACATTATTTTGATTCCTAATATAAATCAACTATTTAAGTTTATAAAATAAGACAGTTACATACACTATTTTTGCTAATAACATGCCACGGTCTTCTAAAACAATGTCAGACATCCAATAAGCACCTGTAAGAAGTGACTTGTGTATTATTTACTCTTCTGACACTTCTGACCCTATATCTAACAATTTTTCATGGCTAACCTTGTCGAATGCTGCTGTCTACTGATTCTGATATCAAAACATTTTATTAATACACTAAATATGTTTAGATTTCTTTTATTTATACACTGAATGAATGTTTCTCTTTTCTAGTTATATATTGGACATTTCAGAGTAAGAATATCCTTCATATTGAATTTTACAGTAGGTACAGCATCAACATACAGAGATTAACAGATTAGTTTGAAAATAGAATGATACTTTTTGATGAAGTACGTTTGGTACACATTATTTAGTAATTTTTGATTATTATACTAATATTTAGAGATATAAGAATGTCTTGAATTTAAATTAACAATGTAAGTGTAATTTAAGTATTGTTTATCAACAAAAATGGTTCTTACCAGTTAAACTTCGAGATTTACATCTGTATACTGTGATATTTTATGAAAATAGTAAAAAAAGCATAGTGAAAGATAATTACATAACAAAAACACCCTCTTAACAGTATTATCGTTATTACATCAAAGTACAAAGTCAAAGAAAATTGACCTAGGTCAAGTATATGTATAGTTTCATCATCACTCACCTTTGAGAAGAGGCAATGGTTGAAGTTCGACATCTTGAGAGTTTCGATATCTGGAACTCCCCTGCGATTTTTTGGTCTTCTTTTTGAGCGATCTTTTGGCAAAAGGATCAATCCTATCGACGAACGTAGTCGTCGTCGACATCGCGGAATTCGTAAACCTTCAGTAACAACAAAAATAACAAGCAAACACTATTTACAAAAGGGTCTGTATAAGAACACTCTGCATTTCACTACTTCAAATTTTTTTGTCAAATCGCACCGAATTTCAAACGCATCATTTGAGTGTATTTATAGTCCAGAATTTATGAATGATTGCTAAATATCAATGACAAGCCACAAGGTGTGTGCACGCCCAATTATCAACTGGTTCGATTTTATGGAAATTTCACGTCGATCTTAAATCAATCGCACTACTATTAGTCAAAATTTGTAAGTCTCGCGATAAAAATCACTTCGAAACACTTTTGGATGTACGAACACTTAACTGCCAAGCCATTCCCGTATTTTCACCCGCCATCAGCTGGTTATTGCTACACAAAATCACTCTAAATCGACGATTTTTAAACACTCAGTTTCTGTTTGCACATTTTTCTCACCGCAAATGTCCTAATCAATTACTTGTATCATCTCACATCCACTAAATTCCGTTAAAAAATTCGGTAATATTTTTTTAGTCTCAATGATTTGCGATGCCGTAGGTACCTAGGACTGAAAATAGATGGAAGGCATGCGCTAGTCAAGCGCACAACTAAATTATCATTATTTTTTATTTTAAAATGTAAATTTATACATAAAAACTATGTTAATATTCGAAATATATTTTTTATATTATTTTCGTTACAAAAAAAAACAGTTTTAACAGTAAAAATGTTGTATTTAATTTCGAATAATTGACGGTCGGACACATTGGTAAATCGAAATAACCTAAGGAAAGTTGCCGGTGTCACTTTTTGTTTTTGACGTAATTTAATAACATTAGATTTCATTAAAAATAGCTTCTACAAGAAAATCTCTACACTTTCGAAACGATAAAATACTAAAGGCAACTAAAATTGAAGTTATATGTTATTTATTTTATATTTATTTAAAATATTTTTGGCTAAGCATTTTTTCGCGAGCTAACAGCTAACCAACCGTTTCTATCGATGTCACCAAGGTTTTTACTGCTTATAAACATTTTTTAAGTAGTTTTTGCTTGAAAATACCCTTTTTTTAATTTTATTGGTTCAAATCCACAGAAACTTGTAAATTTTACAAAAAAACTTATACATGTAAGGCTATTTCCATGCTACATTTTTCTTTCGATATCTTACGTATAGCGCCATCTACTATTAAGACGACAAAACCATAATTTAATATTTGGGTTTAGTACAGTGATCTGTAATGTTTAATGTTAAGTATTTGTTGTAAATAGCAGATGTCGCGGGTGTAGGTATTTTCTTCATATTTTTGTTAAATTTTATTTATATGGTAGTAAATTGGGAAATAACCATACTAGTAGAAACAAAAAGAATGAATAAAACTTCACATTACCATAGAATGTCTATGGTCGACTTGCCCTTTACAGACATAGATTAGGTAAATACAAGGACTTAACGAAAACAAAAATATGATGTTTGATTCCTATTAAATAATCCGAAAATTCACTCTGACCTTGTATGTCGTTCTCTAACAGATTTTGAAAGTGGTATTTGTATCTACCTTATGCTAGAAAATACATATCTTTTTATCTCTAGGAACTGATAGGCAACATGGAATACACGACGTAAGCGATGTAATGGTGGTAGCCTAATAGTAGGGGTATTATAATTTGTGATTTATTATCATTACCCCATTCTTTTGCAGCAGCAGAAATATTTTTCTCTCAACTAAATATTATTAAATGTATTCAATAATAGTTCTGGTAGGTACATTTGTTACTTTAAAATATGGACAAGTGTTTCCGGTTTCCAGTGACGTACTGTCATAGGAGGATGTAGAAAATAGAATATTCTATTTCTTATTTACACAATGTGTAAATCTAGGGATTTCTCCCATTTTAACGAATAGCAGAATAAAACTCTTATTAGTTAAAATGAGTTTAGAATATTTTTTGTACAACCTGCCAATAATGTATTTTGTAATAACTATAAATCATAATATTCTTGTAAGGAAGTTGGAAAGCTTAGGGTTTGATCAGTCGCTGTTGAAATTATTTTCATCTTCACCCCTCACAGCAACATCTGGAGTTCCACCGAGCTTCAATCTGGGGCCACTATTATTTAGTATATTTATAAATGACTGCAATAAACTTAACAAGCTGCTAACTTAAAAATATTAACCTCAATCTCATCAATTCAAGACTGTCACTTTTTACAGACCCAACTGGGCATCGTTGAAAATTGGTGTAATCAAAACAAGCTGTTTATGAATGTGTCTAAATGTAGAGGATGTTCCTATACTAGAAGTATTAACAAGGTGGAGTTTGATTTATTTAACGGCTTACCTTTATCGAAATGAAGATTTAGGTATATTATTCAACCAAAAAAATTACTCTTTCGGATTATATTGAAAATACCGTTGCTTCTGCGTTGAAAAGCTTAGAGTACTTAATTCTTAATACTCGTTCTTTTACAAACTCTCAAAGCTTGGAGATCCTTTACTTTTCTTTAGTTCGTTCCAAGCTAGAATATGCATCTCTTATCTGGAACCTTATTTACAATATTCATAAAAGATCATTGGAAAATTTACAGTATTTTGAACCCATTTTTGAAAATATTATCGTTCAGAACTGTATTTTTTGTGATAAAAAAGTCGCCGTTGTATTGTTAGTGGATAATTAACAATAAATAAAACTGCGGAAGCTACCTTTTAACGTTTTATTTCGTCCATCATAGGTTAACTGTCAATGTCCAGTTTTGTCAACCTCATCCTGGTAACTAGGCATATTTTAGAGATGACTGATACAACAGCCGTCACTTGTCATTGATATTGGCCTTAAGCTTTATTCCGACCTGCGGTGAACTGATTAGATTTTGGGCAGTGTTGGAACATTTAATTTTCTGTCACTTGATGCCGTCAAATAAAGTCTTAGATTGTCAAACTTAAAGGTTATGAACTAGAAGACGATAAACAAAAATCTTAAGTGACTATAATGAATAAAAAACGTATTAATGCTCCTAATTCTTTTATTATTAGGTTATATTAAAGGGTACAATTTTTAATACAAATAGAAGGATATTTACTGGAATGCAAAATATTTTATTTTGCACGTGTTGCTAAGCAATTTGCTTGGCAACGCGTGTCTTATGGATTTTGGTATAAAATGTATTTAAATATAAGTTAACCCTTACAAATTCATTTACCGTGATAAAACATTATTATAAACTTTTTGAAATAAATTTTGTCTGTAAACGATTTTTATTTCAATGTCGCATCACTCTGTAATTTGCTATAATGGTTTCTATAGTGATTTAATTAGTTTGATCGTTAACATCAAAATATAAGACATTTTAGTATAATTTTGTGATGGAAGTTTTAGAGAGGCCACAAATAATTTGCCACAATGAAAAAGCATTGGATTATTCGATACAGGATGTTAAATGGATACCCTGTTCGGCAAAATTTGTTTCAATTGGTGGAAAATCTAATGGCGCTGGTATTGTTGAAATTTATTCTTTAACCAGTGACAATCTTGAAAAAGTGAGCGAGTTTGCCAAGAGAGATCATTTTAAATGTTGTACATTTGAAGCTTCTAGTTTACGAAATCGACATTTAGCTACCGGGGATTATTCGGGACGATTGCAAGTCTGGTAATTTCATTTTTTATAATTCAAATTTTAGTTCCGATAAAATAATAATAAATGTATATATGAAATAAAAAAAAAGAAATTGCCGGTTAAGCACAAATAACTGAAAAATTTAGGTTTAAACCTGCAGATTTTGGTGCTTCTAACCTAAAATTTAGCTCGACGTCGCCTTCAGGATACTTTGAATCATTCTACAAACTTAAATAGTGACCCTATCTATTTCAAATTATCGTTTTTATTAGAATGGACCTTTCTGAAGGTCTCACCAAAATATCTTATTGATATTTCAAGAATTGTGGTCTTGGTGATTGATTAACGTTTCACATATCTACATCGATGTCGCTTTGGAGATACTTTGAATCATTCTACAAATTTAAATAGTGACCTTATCCATTTGAAATTATCGTTTTTATTAGAATGGACCTTTCTGAAGGTCTCACCAAAGTGCCTTGTTAATATTTCAAGAATTGTGGTCTTGGTGATTGATTAACGTTTCGCATATCTATATCGATGTCGCCTTCAGGATACTTTGAATCATTCTACAAATTTAAGTAGTAAACTTATCCATTTGAAATTTTTATTTTGAATAAAATGGACCTTTCTAAAGATATCACCAAAATGTCATGTGAATATTTCAAGAATTGTGGTTTTGGTGATTGATTAACGTTTCGCATATCTACATCGATATCGCTATCAGAATACTTTGAATCGTTCTACAAATTTAAATAGTGATCCTATCTATTTTAAATTATCATTTTTATTAAAATGAACATTTCTGAAGGTCTCACCAAAATATCTTATTAATATTTCAAGAATTGTGGTCTTGGTGATTGATTAACGTTTCGCATATCTACATCGATGTCGCCTTCAGGATACTTTGAATCGTTCTACAAATTTAAATAGTGATCCTATCTATGTGAAATTATCACTTTTATTAGAATGGACTTTTCTGAAGGTCTCACCAAAATATCTTGTTAATATTTTAAAAATTGTGGTCTTGGTGATTGATTAACTTTTCTAATATCTAATAATACTTAATAGGTTTTTTTCTAACAAATAATCTATGACCAATCCAAAATTAATCCACGCTCTACTGATTACGCACATGTGAACCGTTTTCTGATTATTTTTTTGTTGGAACGCAATTCCGATTGTCACATATAAACTGTTTGTCCTTTACATGTTCATTTTTTTTAAATTTAGGGATCTTGAAGACAATATATGGCCAGTATATAAAACAACACAACACAAAGCAATCATTAATGCAATCGATGGAGTATCTGGAACCAATTCAGGTTGTGGTGCACCAGAAATTGTCACAGGATCCAGAGATGGTAAGTTTCTTCGATCAATCGGAACACGACTATTTTAAATCTTATTGTACGTTTACCACGTGATCCGCCAGGTAAAAACTGTAATCTGGATTATATATTAGTCTATTGACTCAGAGAACCTTCTTTGTTGAGAAATCGAGCTGGCGAAATAAGATTATATTAACTCCGGACTTGAAAATATTTCAGGTTCGGTTATGGTTTGGGATGTGAGGCAGAAAGACATTCCAGTAGCTAAATTTGTGCCTTCGATCGAAACAGCAGCAAGGGACTGCTGGTCTGTGGCTTTTGGTAACTCTTATAACAACGAAGAACGAGTTGTAGCAGCCGGTTACGATAATGGAGACATCAAAATTTACGACTTGAAAACTATGAAATTAAGATGGTCCAAATGCGTCAAAAATGGGGTAAGTTTTGTAAATAAAGTAACAATTTTACAATTTTACTTTTTAGGTTGTAGGTCTGCAGTTTGACAGGAAAAATATACCAATGAATAAATTGGTTGCAACGACGTTGGAGTCCAAAATATATTGTTATGATGTAAGAACGAAACATCCGAAAAAAGGATTTGCTTGTGTTACGGAGAGAGCGCACAAATCTACTGTTTGGAATATTAAACATTTACCTCAAAATCGAGAAATTTTTATGACTACCGGTGGAACTGGAAGTTTGTGGCTTTGGAAATAGTAAGAACTTTTACCTCAGAAGTTTATTTTTCTTATTACAGTTTAATTAATTGTTCGCAAAGTAGTGAAAGGTCTATTGACTCGGGGTACCTTGTATGTTGAGATCTCTAGTCGGCAAAATAAAATTGCACTAATGCTGGAATTATTTTTTAGTGTTTATCCTGATAGGAGAGTAGAAAAAGATGCAGATGGACTTCCGTATGGCGTGCCAGGAGAGCTTTCCAGTTTGCAGAACGCTACTTTATCCGAACAACCAATCACTGGGTTTGATTGGTGTATTGATAAAATAGGTTTAGCTGTTTCTTCAGCTTTCGATCAGACGCTGAGGGTATTAATTGTAACCAAACTTAATTTGTACTAAGAAACAAAATGTACTTCATTAATTTTATTGTCTAATATAAATATATTATTATTTATTTTGCAATCGAATTTCGATGTTTTAGTCTAATGGGAAAACATTCGTTTTTTGGTCTTATACTTATATCAGTTTTTAATTTTAAATCTTCTAATGTACCGTCAGATTCTATTATAAAGTTTTTGAGAATCGTAACTAGTACAATTTTCAGTGCCATATACGCATAAGGTTTTCCTAAAAAAGAAATATTTTAAATTAAAGATGAAGTAATTCATTAAATAGGTAGGAATTATGACTTTTTTTCGACGGATTTTTACGTTTTGGGGCCCCCTGAATCCGTTTTGACTATTTTCGCGATGATGTCTCTGTGTGTGTGTGTGTGTCTGTATCCACGATAACTCATGAAAGGATACCAAGAAAAACACCAAATTTTAAACTTGAGCTTTATTCCGTCCTACAGTAAACTAATTAGATTTTGGGCAGAGTCGGAACATCTGGGAGGGTACTTTATGGGTGAAAATTTTTATATTTTATGAAATATATCGGTTATTTACGTTTGGAAAAGAAAATTCTTCAAATAAAAGTTGCTTCTAATATTATTCTCTATAATTTTTGTTTTATACAAAATTTTCCTAAAATGGACCGTATTCAAGATATTTGAGAAAATATGTAAATTTCGAATTTTGAAGAAAACTCAAAAACGGATAAAGAGAAAAACACTAAATTTTAAACTTTAGCTTTATTCCGGCCTAAGATGAGCTGATTAGATTTTGGGCAGAATCGGAACATCTGGGAGGGTACTTAATGGGGGGTAGTTTTAATATTTTATGGAATAGAACTGTTATTTACATTTTGAGAAAAAAATTGTTTAAATAAAAGTTATTTCTTATATTATTCTCTATAATTTTTACCCTATATAAATTTTTCCTAAAATGGACCGTATTCGAGATATTTGAGAAAATGTGTAAATTTCAAATTTTGAAGAAAACTCAAAAACGGATAATGAGAAAAACACTAAATTTTAAACTTTAGCTTTATTCCGGCCTAAGATGAGCTGATTAGATTTTGGGCAGAGTCGGAACATCTGGGAGGGTACTTAATAGGGGGTAGTTTTAATATTTTATGGAATAGAACTGTTATTTACATTTTGAGAAAAAAATTGTTTAAATAAAAGTTATTTCTTATATTATTCTCTATAATTTTTACCCTATATAAATTTTTCCTAAAATGGACCGTATTCGAGATATTTGAGAAAATATGTAAATTTCGAATTTTGAAGAAAACTCAAAAACGGATAAAGAGAAAAACACTAAATTTGAAACTTTAGCTTTATTCCGGCCTAAGATGAGCTGATTAGATTTTGGGCAGAGTCGGAACATCTGGGAGGGTACTTAATAGGGGGTAGTTTTAATATTTTATGGAATAGAACTGTTATTTACATTTTGAGAAAAAAATTGTTTAAATAAAAGTTATTTCTTATATTATTCTCTATAATTTTTACCCTATATAAATTTTTCCTAAAATGGACCGTATTCGAGATATTTGAGAAAATGTGTAAATTTCGAATTTTGAAGAAAACTCAAAAACGGATAAAGAGAAAAACACTAAATTTTAAACTTTAGCTTTATTCCGGCCTAAGATGAGCTGATTAGATTTTGGGCAGAGTCGGAACATCTGGGAGGGTACTTAATGCGGGGTAGTTTTAATATTTTATGGAATAGAACTGTTATTTACATTTTGAGAAAAAAATTGTTCAAATAAAAGTTATTTCTTATATTATTCTCTATAATTTTTATTCTATATAATTTTTTTCTAAAATGGACCGTATTCGAGATATTTGAGAAAATGTGTAAATTTCGAATTTTGAAGAAAATTCAAAAACGAATAAAGAGAAAAACACCAAATTTTAAAATTAAACTTTATTCTGGTCTCTGGTGAACTAAGTATATTTTGGGCAGAGTCGAAACATCTGGGAGGGGACTTTATAGGGGGGTCCTATTTATAAATTATGGAATATATCTGTTATTTATGTTTCGAGAAAAAATTTTTTTAAATGAAAGTTGTTTCTAATATTATTCCCTATAATTTTTGTTCTATACAAAATTTTCCTAAAATGGTCCGTATTCGAGAAATTTGGCAAAATGTGCAAAATCCTGATTTTTAAATTGTTAAACTAAAAAAATTGGAGGAAAAGTGTACAATTTTAATTTTTCGATTTACAAGCATGTAGAAAATATATATATTTAGTTTATCCTCTAAATATTTACAGAGATTGTACAAAATAACCGGAAAAATACTGTAATAACTAAATAGGAAAGTCATGTGTTGGATATATCAGATTTTTTTATTAGTTTGTGGATAAATTCCATAATTTTGTATCGGAAATGTAGGTATACCAACCAATGCATCCTCTTGGTCCTGCACTGAAAGGAATAAAAGCATAGGGATGTCGCTTACGTACAGCCTCAGGTAAAAAATGTTCTGGATAAAATTCCAATGGTTTTTCCCAGTAACGTTTATCTCTATGGATATTGTAAATAGATATAATTATAGAACATCTTTCTGGAATTAAATAATCTAAAAAAAAAACTGTTATTTCGCACTCCGCCATACACACATATATATAAACGGACGTGAATTTGACGTCCGAATACGGTTATGAACGTTTTGACCCTCAAATATGCTTATATTCTTACCAAACATTGTAACTTCCTTTTCTGACTTTCTAACAAGAAAACTAGCTATCGGAAACAATCTCAATACATCTTTAATAACCATATCTAGATATTCTAACTTGTCGATGTTACTTTCATGAATATCATGTTTGTCGCCTATAATATCATATATTTCTTTTGATACTGTTTCTTGAATATGAGGATGCATTCCGAGTAGGACTAGTGTAAACGATACTATTAATGTTACTGTATCTTCTGACTGCATAAAAAATATTTACAGAATAGACTATAAATAAATAAAAACTATAAGCCTTACTGCAGTATATAAAGTGACAAGATGGTCTTTCAAATCTTGATGAGTACAAAATCCTGTCTCTTCATTTTTCATATTCATTAACTGTTGAATAATTGGTTGAAAAGGTTTTGTCTGATGATCTTGATTGTTGGTTTCAATTACCTACAATGATTTAGACCGGTTTGTACTCGAATATAGATAACAGATACTTACTTTTTCCATAAATCCTAAAATAACTTTTTTTCCTTCTTCATGTTCTTTCCAGTACGGACTTAATTGAAACAGAAAATCATTTTGTAACCATATTTTTACAATCCTAGCATGAACGACTGTATACATTCTAAAATATTTTTATTTATTTTACAAAAAAAAAGACGAAAAAACCTATATAGACATTTATGCATTACCTGTGTAGAAGTTTTAAAAAATAGTCCATTTCTCCAAATTGTGCTTTTGTATTGACACCCAAAAACGTTTCTAAAAGTGTAAAACAATTTAAATGTACTATACTTCTAAGAACTACATCATAAAAAATTATTTAACGGCTTAAGATGAATTCATCACTAAATAATCTAAAAAAAATATACCGAAAAAGAAAAATAAATTCGGGCATTAAACGTTAGCAATGGTACCAAGGCGAAGGACAACACGCATAAAATGTTAAGTATCTGTCGCTTTTGATACACATTTTCCTAGATTTCTGGGGTGTTTCTTATGTAACTATTTTTGGGTTTGAATCGGCACTTCGTTGTAATGTTTTAAAAGTAGTTATAGGCCTACTTAATTCATCTAGCTCAATTTAACATTTTTAAAGTAGTTACATATATAAAATTTAGTGTTATAAAAATTTATTAAAAAAACAGACTTACTATTTACAAAATCTGCGGCACATCGATGAACGAATGGTTCAATATTAAACGTGGGTTTATCCACATGTTCTGAGAGAATGTTTATCAAAATCTTTGTTTCTTGTAAAACTGGATTAAAATACTGTAAAATATTTTTCTTGCTAAAAGTGGGTGAAATTAAACGACGATCGTTCCTCCATTTTGAACCTAAATTATAACATATCTATCTAAATTGCATAATAAAGAAAAATTTTAAAAATAATGTAATAAAATAATAGTTAATTAACCAAAATATGTTTGTCATAATTTTTATTACATACTTTTTAGTCATTTAGATATAAGAGGTACCCTTGATAACACTCGATTTACTCTCATGGTTTTGACAAAGTTTGTATTTTAATAATTATTGTTTATGTTCTAAAATTACTAAAATGTAAATTTCGTCAAAACCATGAGAGTAATCGAGTCTTATCAAGAGTACCTTTTTTAAAGTAAATGAGTTGGGCAATCTAAATTTCATACTCAAACTCCTTTTCTTCCATTGGCGTAGAATTTTTAAAGGTGCAATTATTTAAAAAATCAAGTTCTACGCCTATGTATTATTATCGGACAAAATTTTAATACCATTTTTTTGCCACATAAAACTCTACCAATATACCAAATTTCAGCAAAATCGCATTTGCCGTTTTAAATTTATATGGGAAAAACGATATGTGGTATGTTTTTGTAAAGACCTTTTACAGACACCCTGTATATAAGTTAGGGAGCAGTTTCAATAGGGGCTATATTTAAACAAAAAATAGTTTGAATTACCTGAAAAAGTAAACATTTCAAATTTTTGGAATATTAAGTTGGTAACATTTTAAAAAATTATAAATTTAAAAACTTTATATTCTGGAAATTCAATTTAAATACATATTTTTACTTTCCTATCTGTATATAGATATAAGGAAAGTATAGGAATCATGATTTTTTTCGACCTCGAGTTTTCGACGGATTTTTACGTTTTGAGGTCCCCTGAATCCGTTTTGACTATTTTCGCGATGATGTCTGTGTGTGTGTGTGTGTGTGTGTGTGTGTGTGTGTGTGTGTGTGTGTGTGTGTGTGTGTGTGTGTGTCTGTATAACGCATAACTCATGAACCGATACACGGAAAAACACCAAATTTCAAACTTAAGCTTTGTTCTAGCGTCTAATGAGCTGATTAGACTTTGGGCCGAGTCGGAACATCTGGGGGGTACTTTATAGGTGGTCATTTTTATATTTTATGGAATATATCTGTTATTTACGTTTGGGGAAGAAAATTTTTCAAATGAAAGTTACTTCTTATTTTATTATCTATAATTTTTGTTATATACAAAATTTTCCTAAAATGGTCCGTATTCGCGAAATTTGACAAAATGTAAAAAAATATTTTTTTTTATAAAAATTGTTTAAACAAAAGTTGTTTGTGATATAATTCTCTATAATTTTTATCCTATAAATAATTTCTCTAAAATGGACCGTATTCGAGATATTTGAGAAAATGTGTAAATTTCGAAATTTGAAGAAAACTCAAAAACGGATAAAGAAAACAACATTAAATTTTAAACTTAAGATTTATTTCGGCCTGACGTGAAATGATTAGATTTTGGACAAAGTCGGAACACTGGGGGGGTACTTTAAGGGAGGCCGTTTTTATATTTTATGGAATATATCTGTTATTTATGTTTGGAGAAAAAAATTGTTCAAATAAAAGTTACTTCTAATATTATTATCTATAATTTTTGCTTTATGTAAAAATTTCCTGAAATGGTCCGTATTCGAAAAATTTGACAAAATGTGCAAAATTCTGATTTTTATGAAAATTGTTGAAATAAAAGTTGTTTGCGATATCGATCTCTATAATATTTGTTCATACATGATTTTTTTAAAATGGACCGTAATGGAAAAATTGTAGGAAAAGTGCTAAATTTAAATTTTTCAGTATTTTCATTTTCAATGAATATCTATAGAAAAATGTTTCGCGGTAGATGTATGTGGACAATGTATATATTTAGTTTATCCTCTAAACATTTATAGAGATGCTGCAATAGGTTGTACAAAATAACCGGAAAAAGCCTGTAATAACTAGATAGGAAAGTCATGTGTTGGACACATCAGATTTTTACTTTCCTATCTGTATACAGATATAAGGAAAGTATAGGAATCATGATTTTTTTCGACCTCGAGTTTTCGACGGATTTTTACGTTTTGAGGTCCCCTGAATCCGTTTTGACTATTTTCGCGATGATGTCTGTGTGTGTGTCTGTGTGTGTGTCTGTGTGTGTGTCTGTGTGTGTGTCTGTGTGTGTGTGTGTGTGTGTGTGTGTGTGTGTGTGTCTGTATAACGCATAACTCATGAACCGATACACAGAAAAACACCAAATTTTAAACTTAAGCTTTGTTTCAGCGTCTAATGAGCTGATTAGATTTTGGGCAGAGTCGGAACATTTGGGGGGGTACTTTATAGGTGGTCATTTTTATATTTTATGGAATATATCTGTTATTTACGTTTGGAGAAGAAAATTCTTTAAATAAAAGTTACTTCTAATATTATTATCTATAATTTTTGTTTTATACAAAATTTTCCTAAAATGGTCCGTATTCGAGAAATTTGACAAAATGTAAAAAAAATATTTTTTTATAAAAATTTTTCAAATAAAAGTTGTTTGTAATATAATTCTCTATAATTTTTATTCTCTACATAATTTCTCTAAAATGGACCGTATTCGAGATATTTGAGAAAATGTGTAAATTTCGAATTTTGAAAAAAACTCAAAAACGGATAAAGAAAAAAACATTAAATTTTAAACTTAAGGTTTATTTCGGCCTGACGTGAAATGATTAGATTTTGGACAAAGTCGGAACATCTGGGGGGTACTTTATGGGAGGCCGTTTTTATATTTTATGGAATATATCTGTTATTTATGTTTGGAGAGGAAAATTGTTCAAATAAAAGTTACTTCTAATATTATTATCTGTAATTTTTGTTTTATGTAAAAATTTCCTGAAATGGTCCGTATTCGAGAAATTTGACAAAACGTGCAAAATTCTGATTTTTATTATGAAAGTTTTTGAAATAAAAGTTGTTTGCGATATCGATCTCTATAATTTTTGTTTATAAATACATGATTTTTCTAAAATGGACCGTAATGAAAAAATTGTAGGAAATTAAAATTTTTCAGTATTTTCGTTTTCCATGAATATAGAAAAATGTTTCGAGGTAGATGTATGTGGACAATGTATATATTTAGTTTATCCTCTAAATATTTATATAACTAGATAGGAAAGTCATGTGTTGGACACATCAGATTTTTTTTTTCGTTTTATGGCCTAGGTATATAAATCTAATATGCCAGTCTCAGTTTGTGTTTTAAATTTCTCAATCATGTGTGTTGTGTGTAGGCTTTGTTACTGTTTCCCAGCGCCACTTCAGGAACAGCACTGTTAATTAGAACCCAACAGGGAATGGTCGAGTGGGGAATCCTACCAAGGCATCAGAATTAATTTTAAATAATTAAATTAAATAAAAAAATCCCGGCCAACGGTGGGATTCGAACCTGGGACCCTTGGATCCACAGGCAGAGACTCTACCACTGAGCCACCCACCCCCCCAATACATAATTTTAAACATTTTTATCCGACTTTTGTATGTATGGTCACCGATAATTCTTTAACACGTCCGATTTAAATGATTCTTTTTTTTTTTGTTAGACATCGTATTTGGAACATTTCACATTGAGAAAATCCTTTTTTATGTATGTACAAAGTGGTAAATTGTATGATTTTTGATTCTTTTTTTACAGGGATGGTCCCATACAAATTTGGTCAACATGTAATATTTTAAATTTTACCTGACGAGGTTATTAGTCCTTTACCATCAAAAGGTTCTAAAAATTTATACAGATCTGGATCTTTGGTAATGAAATTATAAGAAGACATTATTTTCTAAAAAAACAGATAGTTTTAAATAAATAATTCTAATTGTATATAAAAAAAATGTTACCTGCACTTGATCAGCGTCTGTTATGAACATTGCAAATTTTGGACCGAACCAGAGTCTAAAAGGGCTTGGATAGCTATTGCAAATTTCTACAGCCCTATCAAGCAGATCTAGAAATAAATACCCCTTTTTAAACAAAAATAAGACAGTACGGATCTGTAGTTGTAATTTTTATTGGTTTTTGTGAATGTTACTTCAAGCAGACTAAAATTCTCTTAATGTAGAATTATTTATTAAAATTTTGGTATTAAAATGGCATGATTGTAATCAGTTTTTTTATCCTCTTTCCAAATTTGAAATTTATTTTTAAAAATTTGATGTATAGGATCAAATTTTAATAATTTTTGTTAAGCCAGACGTGGATTTTGAATTTTTTTAACATATCGATAAATTGTCCTATAGTTGTAGATTATCTACGCCAAATATCAAAAAACTATACCGAGTGATTCAAAAGTTATGGAGAAAATACAATAAAGTCGGTTATAAAGGTAACAAAACCTATAAGAAATGTTTTAAAATTTAGTTTGAGTAAAGAACAGCTGCAGAAAAAGAATAGTATTACACCAGGCGCGGATACAAGGGGGCTAATAGGGTAATTACCCCCCCCCCCCCTCCGAGCTGCTCCAACAAATCCACGAATTTATTAAATTGTAACCTAAAAACAACAAGATGACTGTGACGAATGAAGAATAGAGTTGGCGTACAGTATTTTTTGTTATTTTTTAAATAAACGAATGATTCTTTGATAAGATTATCTATATAAATAATTCATAATTGCTTTAGAATTGTTTTAGAGGTTTTAAAGGAAGAATTTCTTACCTTCATTATTACAAAGAAAACTTAATCCATTTCCAATTAATGGCAGAGCTAAGGGTCCGTTTAATTTCCAAGACAACCAATATAATTTTCTTTTTTTGTACACATAAATACTTAATAATAAACAAAATAGAACACAAATAGGTAACAACATGATTATGGTGTTTCTTGCAAAACAATGATGAAAAAATGTAATGTTGGAAGAATGGTTATATTGACCTGGTTTGCAACCAATTTATACCATAAAAGGCATGTAGATGTATTGCGTTTTCTTTTTATGCTGAGTATAAAAAGGTATGCATGTTATTTATGACTTTTATGATAAATTAACAATTTTTTATATATAAAAAAATCTGATGTGTCCAACACATGACTTTCCTATCTAGTTATTATAGGCATTTTCCGGTTATTTTGTACAACCTATTGCAGCATCTCTATAAATGTTTAGAGAATAAACTAAATATATACATTTTACACATACATCTACCTCGAAACATTTTTCTATAGATATTCATTGAAAACGAAAATACAGAAAAATTTAAATTTAGCACTTTTCCATTACGGTCCATTTTAGAAAAATCATGTATAAACAAAAATTATAGAAATCGATATCGCAAACAACTTTTAGTTCAACAATTTTCATAAAAATCAGAATTTTGCACATTTTGTCAAATTTCTTGAATACGGACCATTTCAGGAAATTTTGACATAAAGCAAAAATTATAGATAATAATATTAGAAGTAACTTTTATTTGAACAATTTTCTTCTTCAAACATAAATAACAGATATATTCCATAAAATATAAAAACGGCCTCCCATAAAGTACCCCCCCAGATGTTCCGACTTTGTCCAAAATCTAATCATTTCACGTCAGGCCGAAATAAACCTTAAGTTTAAAATTTAATGTTTTTTCCTTTATCCGTTTTTGAGTTTTCTTCAAATTTCGAAATTTACACATTTTCTCAAATATCTCGAATACGGTCCATTTTAGAGAAATTATGTATAGGACAAAAATTATAGAGAATTATATTACAAACAACTTTTATTTGAACAATTTTTATAAAAAATTATGTTTTTTACATTTTGTCAAATTTCTCGAATACGGACCATTTTAGGAAAATTTTGCATAAAACAAAAATTATAGATAATTATATTAGAAGTAACTTTTATTTGAAGAATTTTTTTCTCCAAACGTAAATAACAGATATATTCCATAAAATATAAAAATGACCACCTATAAAGTACCCCCCCAGATGTTCCGACACTGCCCAAAATCTAATCAGCTCATTGGACGCTGAAACAAAGCTTAAGTTTAAAATTTGGTGTTTTTCTGTGTATCGGTTCATGAGTTATGCGTTATACAGACACACACACACACACACACACACACACACACACACACACACACACACACACACACACAGACACACACACAGACACACACACACACACACACACACACACACACACACACACACACACACACACACACACACACACACACACACACACACACACACACACACACACACAGACATCATCGCGAAAATAGTCAAAACGGATTCAGGGGACCTCAAAACGTAAAAATCCGTCGAAAACTCGAGGTCGAAAAAAATCATGATTCCTATACTTTCCTTATATCTGTATACAGATAGGAAAGTAAAAAAACGAAATAAGACTTGAAATAATGTTATTATTTTGATACAACGAAAGACTAATCATAAAAATAACGTTTAACATCAATTTTGATAAAATTTGATACACAAAATATATTATTTTCTGATCAGTAGTTTTTTTTATTATTAATTTTCAAAAATCGAAAAATTTACCAATTTTGGTCCAACACAGCTTCATAAAAATTAAAATATCTTCAAGACCACTTATTGTAGATCGGTGAGATGTAGCTCGTTAAAAAGGTAATTTAAATACCTTTCCAACGATGTATCACACGACCTATCTAATATTTGTTTTTTGTTAAAATTTTGAAAAAGTTTTCGTGCAAATACTTTGTAAGTCTAGCAAATGGACTTGGCTTATTTTCTCTAACACTTTTTTGATACAAATGGAGTATCTGATTGGCAACACTTGTCTTTGCTAATGAAGAGACACGAAACGTAAATTTTAGATAACAGTAATATGAAGACTTGGGTAAATTTAAAAAAAAATGTTGGAGATCTATTATTTTTGGAATTAGGGACGAAGCAAAGGTTCCAATATCAACTTTAACAAGTAGGAATTTAACTTTGCTACTCTATATCTTTAATAGCTGTTAAAATTGAAGAATTTTATTTGTAGAATAATGATTCTACACTCTCTATAAATGTGTTTTGAAATTTGTAAGTTCATAAAACTATTAGTTTTGGAATTAGGGACGAAACAAGGGTTCCAATATCAACTTAAGCAAGTAGGAATTTAACTTTGCTACTCTCTATCTTTAATAGCTGTTGAAATTGAACAATTTTATTTGTAGAATAATGATTCTACACTCTTTATAAATGTGTTCTGAAATTTTTAAGTTTATAAATCTATTAGTTTTGGAATTAGGGACGAAACAAGGGTTCCAATATCAACTTTAGCAAGTAGGAATTTAACTTTGCTACTCTCTAACTTTAATAGCTATTGAAATTGAAGAATTTTATTTGTAGAATAATGATTCTACACTCTTTATAAATGTGTTCTGAAAATTTTAAGTTTATAAATCTATTAGTTTTGGAATTAGGGACGAAACAAGGGTTCCAATATCAACTTTAACAAGTAAGAATTTAATTTTGCTACTCTCTATCTTTAATAACTGTTGGAATTGAAGAATTTTGTTTGTAAAATAATGATTCTACACTCTTTATAAATGTTTTATGAAATTTTGAAGTTTATAAATCTATTAGTTTTGGAATTAGGGACGAAACAAGGGTTCCAATATCAACTTTAACAAGTAAGAATTTAACTTTGCTACTCTCTATCTTTAATAGCTGTTAGAATTGAAGAATTTTGTTTGTAAAATAATGATTCTACACTCTTTATAAATGTGTTCTGAAATTTTGAAGTTTTTAAATCCATTATTTTGGAAATAAAAACGAAACAAAGGTTCCAATATCAACTGTAACAAATAGGAATTTAATTTTGATACTCTCTATCTTTAAGATCTGTTAGAATTGAAAAATTTTGTTTGCAGAATAATGTTTCTACACTCTTTATAAATGTGTTCTGAAATTTTGAAGTTTATAAATCTATTAGTTTTGGAATTAGGGACGAAACAAGGGTTCCAATATCAACTTTAACAAGTAAGAATTTAACTTTGCTACTCTCTATCTTTAATAACTGTTGGAATTGAAGAATTTTGTTTGTAGAATAATGATTCTACACTCTTTATAAATGTTTTATGAAATTTTGAAGTTTATAAATCTATTAGTTTTGGAATTAGGGACGAAACAAAGGTTTTAATATTAACTTTAACCAATAGGAATTTAACTTTAACACTCTTTATCTTTAACAGCTGATGGAATTTACATTTTTTTCTCCGTCATGAATATTTTATTTTTTATTTTATTGCACCGTTTAAATATATCATAAACAGCTCAGAATTCGTAGAGAAATACGGTTAATCTGGATCACATGGGTAATAAATTAGTACCAAAGCAATTTCGAACAAAAATGTCAATCTCTAAAGCCTCTAATGCCGACACAAACAGATTTAATTGTATTCCTCTAATCGACTTCTTCAATGAACATGGATCAGTGGCGTAGTCAGTTTTTATATTTAAAAGGAGGTCATAAGAAAATTATACAAGCAACATCTTTTGATTGTATAATATTTACTGAAACTTGAAACTGAAAATTCCTCATGTATAAATTCAACAATTAAATCAAAATATATTATTTTGAAAGGATTATAATATAAATATTTGTAACAAAATAATAGTTCTGTTGCCACTCCAAAATAATATATTGTTTATTGATTATCAGGTATCAAAAATATGTGTTGAAATATGTTCTATTGCTCTTAATTTTTTTAATAGGTTCTTATTATAGTTGTAAATAAAAATCAACACTTTTTATCCGTTTATTTAACACTTACAAACATAAGCTCTTGTCATTTGTTTATGCACTTAAAGAAAAACTAGAGATAAGGCTATCAAGGATCTCCAAAAGCTACTTTAATTTACGACAATTTTATTTACTTTACCTTCCTTAAACAGACTGACTCGCGGTTACACCGCTA